TTTTTTTTAGCCTTTTTTGGATAGGGACAGCTTAGAGAGACAGGAAAGTGGGGAGAGAGAGAGGGGAAGACGAGTGGCAAAAGTCCACAGGTCAGACTTGAAGGCAGGCCTCTCCAGCCATACAGCATTTGGTCGCCTGTGCACCCACTGAGCTAAGCATCCCACACTGAAAATATTCAAATAAAGTGTACTCTATCTATCTAAATCTAACAAAAGTATCGATACTAAGCCAGGAATCCGATATCTCACAAATAACCAGCTGACATTATTGCTATTTGTGATATCTCAAAAATAATATAAAGTTTATGACCGTGAACTGTGATCTTTATTTGTTCAGATATGACTTGAGGATCAGATACATCCCATCAGACTTTATGGAAAAATTCCAAGATGACAGAACCACTATGCTCTACTTTTACCAGCAGGTCAGTAAAATTGTCAGTGTTTTTGCACCTTCGTCTTAGCGGTTTAATTTAGGTTTACACGTTTACCCTCAGGTACGAAGTGATTATATGCAGCAGTATGCCTCAAAAGTAAGCGATGGAATGGCTCTACAGCTTGGCTGTCTGGAAATCAGGTAACATCTCATGGACAAAAGAAAAACTGGGCAATAATTGTGCATACTTTCATGGAAAACTGATGGATGGTACTCTTACTACTTACAGGAGGTTCTGCAAAGACATGAATCCAAACGGATTGGAGAAAAAGTCAAACTTTGAATTTCTGGAGTAAGTTTAACATGCATAACCTTCCTACTTCTCATGCTACTGCCTGTTTACCTTTTACCTCAGGCCTTTCATGCCTTTGTGGTACATGCGTGTGTACCACTTTATTGTTTTTGTAAGTTGTTTTTTTTTTTTAAATAGGCCTGCGCCACCTATTTAACCAGCATTTCTCAGAAATAGAAGGGCTTTCTATTTCTGAGAATTGATATGTGGATATGTGGTGAAAGGTGGATGAAAAGGAAGAGTAAAAATGACCAGATGCAGTCTCCAGTTAACACAAAAAGCTACATAAAGTGCATATTTCTAAAAGTGAAAGTTTCACATTACATATTGTTCTAAACTAGAGAGATGCGGGGTTGCATCAAGTTTTTGTTTCATTATAGCTGTCTGACTTCCCTTTATTCCTCCATTAGGAAGGAGATAGGACTCGACCTCTTCTTCCCCAAAGAGCTCATTGACAGCATGAAGGTATGGAGCCAGAACATTTCGATACAATTTCTGCCTAAAGTTACAGGATGAAATAAAATGTGCCTGATTGTCTCCGTCTGCATCTGTGTATCAGCCCAAGCAGCTGCGTCGCATGATCCAGCAGACATTTCAGGGCTACTCGGCTCTGAATCAGGACCAGTGCATGGCGAAGTTCTTCACCACTCTGTCTCAGTGCTGGTGCTTCACGCAGGAAAGCTTCGCCTGCCAACTAGTGGTGAGTATTTGATGTGTGCACTGGTTGTCACGTATACTGGCACTGAATAAAACAAGTGGTTACTGAATTCTAAAAGTAAAAACTTGTTTTGTTTGAAGATAAAACGCAGTGCAGTGCTTTATATATTTATGTTTTTCATTTCTTTGTGTTCACAAAAATGGGATCTCTTCTCTTCTCAGAGAGGTTTCAAAATTATTAATGTGTGTGCTTTGTGTCTCTGCAGCAAGGCTGGAGCTTAACAATAGACTTAGTTATTGACCCTGATGGGATTAGTCAGCACACTGAGAACTCAACGGTGAGTTTGAACTTTCTCTTACTTCTATTAATTTTTGTTTGATCTCTTAAAACAAATCTGTCATGGTGTGTGTGTGTGTGTGTGTGTGTGTGTGTGTGTGTGTGTGTGTGTGTGTGTGTGTGTGTGTGTGTGTGTGTGTGTGTCTATTTATATATAAATATATTGTCTAAATCTTTTAAATCTTTTCAGCCCATCTGTTTGGCCAAGTTCTCTCAGGTCCGCAGCATCTCCTGTACTGCAGAGAGTGATGGGCGAGCTCTGCTCAAAGCGCACATTGAGGGAGCCAAACAGGTAGCACTGAACTTCCTGATTTGTTTAACTGCTGTGTTTTGTTTCATTTCTACCTTTTTCATCAGTTCCCTGGAGGCGTCAAATCGTCAAAGACTTCCAGGGAAGTAATGAAAAAGAACTGATGAAATTTTGAAGTACAGTAGGTATCATTGTCCCAACAACGGGAAAAGGAAAAGGGTTAAGAACCGGAATTATTTATTTATTTCAATCACGCTGCTTTTACAAACAGTAGTTCTGTTGTAGAAGTCGCATTGACTATATCTTAATGCACCCAGTGTTTTTTAGTTCTTAGTGCAGATTAAATATCATGTATCTTCCACCCTCCAGCCGCTGTCAGTGAACACCTCCTCCCTGGCAGTAGCAGAAAACCTGGCTGACCTGATTGATGGCTACTGCCGACTGGAAGGCGCTGAACGTTCACTTATTGTCAGCCCCAACAAAGGTAAAAGTAATGTCCATCCATGCAAAAAGTAAGGGTCTTGAGATTAAAAAATGTCTTTTACAAGCGTGTCCTGGCCAGAAAAACAGCTGTATAATGGAGTTGCATAAACTGGTATCACATGCATACTGGAGACGTTACGAGATATTCATTCTGCAGCTCATTCCAGGGGGAAGGAATGCCTTTCCACCCATCTTCTTAACCACTTATCTAGCTAAGAGTTGTGGGAGGGCTCAAGTACGTCCAAGCTATCATAGATTGACAGGTCGGGTATAGTTTGGACAGAGTGCCAGTCTATTGCACTCTTTTTTTCTTTTTCTTTTTTTACATGATAACATGTGACATTTCCATGTAACCCACTCATCCTGCTTAATCCTGGCACTTACTTTTGGCCTCTTGGCTCTCACTTTCCATGAATTTGATATTACATTTGACATTAAAAAATAAAATTAAGCCATGTTTTTCCCACTTATTGCAGTAAGGTTTAGTATAACAGAGCATGAGACTGTGGAAAGAACCTTTAATTGCCGATTCCTGCCACCTATGCCTTAACCAGATATCTGACTCTTACAGGGAGAGATACGCGAATGAAACTTCCTGACATCCCAAAATGGTGAGCATGATGAGTCAATTTGGAAAGTTGTGGGTTTTTTTAAAAATGTTATTAAAGGTGACACATTGTTTTCCCTCGGTGGGGATAATTTAGTAGAAGCATAACGTATGTGGGTGTAGTTTATTTTAAGATCTTCCTCCTCTGTGTTCATTTTTTCATATGTCTACCGCTCACAGCTGATATGTCACAGATGTTTGCTGAAACGTTTGCTTGTATACAAAATGTTACAGAAAGAAAGAAACATTTTTCTCTCTTCTTCTTCCAGTGCTGGTTCCAGTGCTCACAGTAAAGGTTTCAGTAAGTACTAATCCAGCCTCTAGAATTTTACTTTTAACTTTAAAAGCAATGTATGTATGTATACTAATCATGTGTTTTTCTTTTATTCGTTTAACTTTAGATTCTGATATTTATGCTGAAATCCCTGAAGACGGAGCTGACATTAGTGGTGAGTAGCATTTTACTTTAAATCAAAATTGATCCTGAAGCTCACGCAGATTGTATCGCTACCAATGAGCCAAAACCATCTGTCAGTTAAGGTGTTTGTGTTATTGCGATGGCCAGTTGTGGGGATTTTGTTATATAATCCCCTGCTGCTCTCTTCCTTATTGAGAAAGAATGAAAATGTTAAAACATTGTTGCAAAACAGCGAACTAAGAAAAGCTGGAGTATTCAAAGTGAGTAAGTGGAAAGTTAAAAATGTACACGTAAAAACTTCCCCGGGTTTAACCAAAATGTTTTTCCTTGGACATTGACTGCTCTATACCAGTTCTATAACTTGACCATTTTAAGAGTGTTTGGGGGTTGTTGCTTTTTTTTTGTTTGCTTCTTTGTTGTTAAGGTACTTCACACTTATGAATCATTCAAACATAAAAAGCCACCTAACTCAAGGGATGAGCCAGTGTTCTGTTTTCACATAATAACTTGGCAAAGAACCAATTTCTTTAGTTGAATCTATAAAAAATTATTTAGATAACACAGTTTGGCAGACATACAAATAATATTTATGCACCAGTGAGGTGATCCCCAAAGAGCTGTAAGCTGAAAGCTTGGGATTTCTCAACATTGTGTGCAGCGTGTCCTTAAAAAATCTGAAGAAACTGGACAAATGGAGGATAAAAAGAATAAATGGCAGGTGTGGGAGATGCATCTGGCTTTTGATGGGTTGATCGATGTGTTCGCTGGAGCCTCATCAGAAATGGTCTTGGTTCAATGGCCAGCTGGTGTCAACAAGTACCATCAAATTTTGATCAACTATGAAATACTATCTGAAAAGCAACTGGTCGACAACTGCTTCATTTTTCAGCATGTCAGTGATCTCAAACACACTGCCAATGCAGTTAAAGAACACCGGGGTAGAAACCCAACATTATCAGTCACAGGTTGGCCTCCCCAGACCTCGGACCTCAACATTATTGAAGCAGTGTGGGATCATGTTGACAGAGAACAGAACAAAAGGCAGAAACATCCAAAGAAAAGCTTTGAATGTCCTTCAAGAACTCTGGAGAACTATTGCTGAAGACTACTTAAAGACATGATAAGAAAGCTGCCTTTAGACTATGATGAAGAATAAAGGTGGTCATACCAAATATTGAATTGGAATTGTACAAACTCAGTTTTTGACTTATAGTATTTTTATATAGGTGCGCAGATGTTTCAATAAATAGCTGCACCTATTTTCCTGGTGGTATATTTTTGGCAAGACTTTTACATAGTACTGTATATTTATTTTGGTTTACACCTACGCAGGGAGTTTATTAGATGACAGCTGCAGTGAGGAGTTTACACCTTCTGGGTACTTGTAGTGGCGTGTATGCGGTACCTTTGGTGCAGGCTCTCTGTGGCTGGTGTCAAATACTTTCGAGTTGTAACATGGTCTGTTTCACCTCTTATCCATGTCCAGTTCCACCTCCATACTTTGGATGTCACTATTAAACACAGATATCAGGGCTTTATATATTTATAGAAGTACATTGATTGATAAATATTTTAGGGCATTTAGATCTTATTTACTTGTTTTCTTGGTGCACTACTAAGAACAAAGGTAGCTTTTCCTTTTTTTTTTTCTTTTATACTTGCTTGCTATGTTCCTTTAAATATCCAGGAGATGTGGGTAAGTAACAAAAAGTGCCTGGGTTGGAGAAAATTTTGCAATTAAATTAAGGTTATTATTATTAATATTTACATCAAATTATATGCATGAGCATACTGCTGCAAAGTGTGACACAGAGGATGCAAACGTGTCCCAGTAACATGTAAAGGAAGGAAGTACAAATAGTGGCAAACCACACATCCTGTTGTGTGTAGGCTTTTCTTTTTGTTTTTTTGTTTTGTTGTCTTGTCTTGTTTGAAATGAACAGCTTTACATTTACAGCATATCACCTACCTTTTAAAAGAGGGAAACGTGGAGTTTTCTCAACCTGTGCCTTTGTTTCTGTGTGCAGAAAGGCGCAAGATCTCCAAGGAGGATTTCGTTGTGGGACGGATCCTGGGCGAGGGATTCTTTGGAGAGGTTCACGATGGAGTTTATAAAAGCCCAGTGAGTCCATCTGTTGTGTTGACTAACTAGCCTCATGCTAAGGCTCAGACATGCTTGATAAGAACATCCCACAAATATCCATCAAACCCAAAGCTGAAAATATGAAAAAGGTTTGCAAATGTAAACCACTGTGCGTGTGTGTTTGTCTGCAGACAGGGGAGAGGATCCGAGTGGCCATCAAAACATGTAAGGACTGTTCGGCTGATGTAAAGGAAAAGTTTCTCAGTGAAGCCGGTGAGTGCATTGCAGCTGCAGTGATTGTTTCCTTTTCTTTTGCACTACACATGTCAGCCAGCGTGTGCAGGGGTTTGTGACGCAACTGCAGCACGCAGGAATTTATAACAAAAAAAGCACTTTAGGGCCAAGTTGGGTCTTATATGGGTGGGTTCTTATACACTTGAAAATGAAAGTGTTGGCTAATTTTTGCTTAAAGAAGTAATGAGTAAAGTGTGACAAGCCAAGAGTGAAATGTGCTAGTTTAGATCATTTGAAGGTTTTTGCACCAGTAACGAGGCTGATGTAGTGAACTTCCTGTTGTCTGCTTGTGGTTTCATGTAATAACTCCAACGGCTAAATGTGGGAGTCTGGAAGCCGCAGGTTTTATCATCCATTGCAAAAACATCAAAGCTTGAGACGTAACAAGCTTTGATGTTTTCTGTTCTGAGATAGACAAAACATTCCTGAGGTCCGGATCTTTGCTGATGGTTAAACTGTTTAAATCAAGCGTTACATTTTGAAATTTCATGGTCACAGGACGAAATAGCCGACATTTTTGTTACGCTTTTCCCCCAGAAATGCCCTGCTTCTTCTTCCATGATCATCAGCAACACTCTTCTTATTTTCTTTGTTTAATCCAGCATTCACATTTGCATTTCTATGTAGCACTCGTTTTGGTCTCAACCTTGTCCTGTTGCACTCATCACGCTTCACTAGCTGCAAATTCACCAGCTAGCCGCACGTTTCTTTGCTGGGCATGCAGTGGGTGTTAAACAAAATGAGCAACAGAAACTCCTCTGGAATCAGGTTTTTAGAGTTAATCAAACATGCACTTTTGGGTGAAAACTGTATGACAGTAAAATATATAATAACATTCAATTAAAGAGCTGTGGGGTCTTTTAGGGGATGCCACATGATGGCTCTCCTCTGTAAAGTAAAGTTGAACATGTTTTATTTTTAAGCCTATCAAACATGAGCAATTGCCCGTGCTCATCTGATAGGAGGGGCTTAGAAAAGAGAGGGGAGAACTATCGATTTTGCTTCTGAAGAAAATAATTATAATCTTCCTCATAAAGTATGAACAAGACTTGCACGAAAAGCAGAAGTCAAATGTATTTTTAGATAAAGAGCTTAGGTTAGGCACAGTGGTGTGATGGTTAGCACCATTGCCTCATAGTGGGGAGGTCCTGGGTTTGAATCCACCACCTGCCTGGGGCCTTTCTGTGAGGAGATCGCATGCTCCCGGTGTTCTCTCTGAAGCCATGCAGTCAGTAGGTTTAGGTTAATCTGTGTAGTTGTCTGTCTGCCTAGGCTGGAGTAATGCTAAAAAAATTGTAAGCAGGACTTTGGGGCTAGTATGGCTTTTGTTATCTATAAATAAAAAGCCATAATATAACCAAGAACCATCGCTGCATATAATCTCTGTCTGTCTCTACATTAATAAAGTCTGAATTCTCTCTGTTAAAGACTTGATGAAAAATCTGGATCACCCCCACATCGTGCGTCTGATTGGAGTCATTGAGGCCGATCCTGTCTGGATTGTCATGGAGCTCTATGAACACGGAGAGGTATGTTTTTGTGTTTTTATTCTAATGGTAAACCTAAAGTATCACAACCTAAACCGTGACTTGCAACTGTGCCTTGTTTCGCTCACAGTTGGGGAACTACCTCATAGAGAACCAGTACAGCCTGAGCACAGCGACGCTTGTCCTCTACTGTCTACAGATATGTAAAGCTCTGGCTTACCTAGAAGGTCTCAACATGGTGCACAGGTAGCACATTTTCCACAAGTAGTGTGCTTTCATTACCTGCAGTGTATTTTAAGAAAGAAGCTCAGCAGGACTGAATAAAAACATTTTTATTTTGCAGAAACTTTAAAGCCTCTCTGCATGTTGTGCAGATATTAAGTGAAAATAGTTTGCATGCTGATTTCTTTTGGTGTGATGTTTCTTTATTCTTCGCGTCATCTTGTGGTTTCTATTTTCTCTGTCTGTCTGTCTGTCTGTCTGCGGGCCATAGAGACATAGCGGTGAGAAACATCTTGGTGGCGTCTCCAGAATGCGTCAAACTTGGTGACTTCGGCCTCTCTCGCTACGTAGACGACCAAGAGTATTATAAAGGTGCACACATCGACAAGTTTCGAATGTTTGTAGAAGTCAAAATAAATGTCATGTTTTTGCTTTGCCCGTTTAACTGCACCCATTAACTTAGTGAATCTCAATTTCTCCTCTGTGTGCAGCTTCAGTGAGTCGTTTACCAATCAAATGGATGGCGCCAGAATCCATCAACTTTAGACGTTTCACCACAGCCAGTGATGTCTGGATGTTCGGTGAGAAAATGCAACAACAAAAAAATTCATTCTCTCAGTTACACATGTAGGTCTTTACTCCGTCTGAACACAATACATGCTTTTATTAAACCAGGAACAGAAACAAGTAGTGCTTAAAGTTAGTTTCACCGCGGTACAGCTTGAGGTTTTCACTCAGTTGATTTGTAATTCCTCAGGCTGTAGACTGATGTGAACCATGTTATTTAGTCCTTCCATCTCTCATAGCACACAGTTTTTGGGCTGATGTTAATGCTTGAGGAGTCCACTTCAATTTTTTTTTTTTTTTTTATTTAGAGCCAAATCACTGGATTTACACTGCTGCTCAATCACAGCTGCTTGATCAATGTTTTTCGTTAGCAATTTAGCAAAGTTGATGGTGGTGTGTGTGTGTCTGTGTGAGTGAAAGACAGAGAGGGTGAGTGAGCAACAGAATTTCTGTTATAACCTTCATTTTTATGGACGCACAGTGTGAGCACTCAGGTCGCATCAGAGCATCGGGCCGTATAGTGTGAGACCCTGCAGACCCAGTTTGAGCAGGAGAGGAATCGCGCGACTGAAAAAATCGCACAGTGTATGCCCAGCTTAAGTATGTGTGTCTGTGTGCGTGTGTGTGCATATGAGCAAGTGTGAAAATGTGATTGAGTATGTTTGTCTGTAAGCCTTTGAAAGAGCATGTGGCAGCTACAATGAAGAAAAGTGAGCATATCAACTTCCTCAGAAGTGAGCACTTTGATGCAACGCTTCCTGCTGCCGAAAACAGGCGTGCTGGTGTTTGCAGCTGTCAGTAATTATTGTTAATAATATTTAAGTGACCCACCTAAAAAACCCAAGTCAGAGGCTCAGACTTTCCTGGAACATGTACACATTTTTGAAAAATATTTTTTTTAAATATTAAAATATTATCAATACAATACAATACTACGGAGCCCCGCAGGGGACATGGGAGAAAAAAAATTAAGACGGACTTTTGCGAGATCTCGCAAAACTATCTCGGGATCTCGCAAAAGTTTTGCGAGATCTCGCAAAACAAACTCGGGATCTCGCAAAACTTTTGCGAGATCTCGCAAAACTTTTAGCCGCATTCTTCGGACGCTGGCTCGAAGCTGACCGGCACGCCGGGAAAGCGGTGTTCCTCCCGGCTGTAGTAGATCTCGACCTCCCGTTAGCTCGAAGAAATGTTAAATGTTAAATCTAAATGTTAAATGTTAAATCTAAATATTATATTTCAATCTAAATGTTAAATTTGCATGTTAGCCTAAACATTTAGATTTAACATTTAACATTTAGATTTAGCATTTAACATTTAGAATTAACATTTAGATTTAGATTTAAATATAATATTTCGACTTAACATTTAGATTTAACATTTAAAATTGTGTTTTAACTATGAAAAGTTACAAATATTTTACTAAATGTTGTAAAAAAGGACTCGTTTTGAGCTAAATGTGGAAAAATGTTGCCGTTAATTTCAGCATGTTTCACTTTACAAACGGCACCCCATAGCATGTTACTAGTAACAAGCGCTGCAGTTTTGGACATTTCCTGAGCTTGCCAGTAACAGCTACAGCTCCGGTAACAGTGTGCGTAGACAGACTCCTCTTTATTCTATTACAGCGTCATCTTCACTGCTGCTGTTGTTTCTCATGAGTCTTTTTGTTGAGATAAGTAGGGGCTGCTTGAGCTTAATGGTGTGAGACATTTTATTCACACGCGTGCTCCTAAATACATTTGTACTGGTTTTAGTCACAAATTTAGGTGAAAGGCTCACAACTGTGCAGTGGTCAGTGGCAGCTGAGTGCTGCATAGTCGTGGTTTAACAAAGCATCACAGTAAAGAATTTACATTAGGGATTTTTTTAGTAATCAAGTCTCTCAGTGAATAATTGCAGCCCCACACCTATGGGACTGAAGACATGCTCAGTACTTTTGTTCATGTGATGCAGAGATGTCAAACATACGCGGGCACCAGATTTGGTTGGGCAAAGACTCCAATCTGGGCCAATGGACAGCTTGAAAAATGTGACAGAATGCATAAATTTTCACATGCATTTTCATAAATTTTACAGCTTTTCCGATTAATAAAGACCCCTCCCTGCCACTGAAATTTATACTGCACCAAAGTAATTAAGTAGCCGATAAATGATGACAATAACGCTCCTGTTTTTAAAATATCTACTATAGAAATTAAATTGTTTTTCCCATTTTTTACAGTCAGGTCACAGGAAAAAGCATGATATAAAATTATTAATTTTGTTTCAAATCACCTTGTTTGATTTGAAACAAAATTAAAAGTGTCTAAACATCATGAGTGTGTCTCTCTAAAATCTGATGTTCAAGCTTAAATCAAGTTTCATGTCTGAAATAATAGTTTAGTTGGGAATCATCTTAGAGACAAATCTGCTGATGTATTTATAAACCGCATTTGTGTGATGAAAGTGTAAGTGCCAGTCTCAGTGTGAATAGATAAACATAGATTATTTTTAATATAGCTAATCATGTGTGTGTGTGTGTGTGTGTGTGTGTGTGTGTGTATGTGTTCAACCAGCTGTTTGTGTGTGGGAGATCTTCTCAATGGCCCAGCAGCCGTTTTTCTGGTTGGAGAACGGGCAGGTGATCACCCAGCTGGAAGCGGGCGTTCGACTCCACAAACCGCAGCTCTGCCCGCCCATCATCTACTCGCTGCTTACCCGCTGCTGGGCCTATGAGCCCAGTGGCCGTCCCAGCTTTGGCCAGCTTGCCTGCTCCCTCAGGTGCACACTCACCTAACTGAACACATGACCCCCAGTACATGCAGAAGAACTGATCCCACTATTCAAAGTTATATAAACTGATGATGCCTGTGTTTAATAGTGACGTCCACAGAATGGAGGTGGAGCTGGAGAAAGATGAGAGGCGAAACAAACCACGGTCCAACTCGATAGCATTTGATCCCAACCACACGGAGCCTCCACCAAAGGTACCACACATGCACCAATATGAGAATCTCAGAGGGTCTAAACTCCTCCCTGCAGCTGTCTTTAAATAAACTTCCACCTAGGTGTAAACCAGCATAGACAGATTAGGCTGAATTACTGCACACAGAAATGATGACATTTCGATTATGTCAGATGAAATCTGAAGACATCAACAGAGTTATTATAAGGTTTCTGGTTCCTTACAGTCAAGTTAGTTGATTAAATGACTTAAAAAGGACTTTTTCTGCTTATCTCAGTGTTTTTCACTCTTTGTCTGTTATAGTAGTTTGACTTAGTCATAGTTCAAAAAATCTATGGAATGGAAACAAATATTGTGCTTTTTGAAAAACCGTTAGACAAAAATTGCCTGAACATACAATTTAAAATTGCTTCTTTGCTACGTTGTCTGTTATGTGTTTACACATTACACTGGTGCCTTTTTTATGCTTAAATTATTTATAGGTCATTGTTAAGTGGCTTAGTGAAAAAGCAGCCAAAGACCTTCAGAAAGCCCGTGGCACAGATAAAGATCAAGAACTCAAAGAAATGAGGGGTGGCTCAAGACTTGCACAGCACTGCACACACATATATTTTTGTTGCGTAACAACGCATCTTGAAAGTGAAATACACCAGAGTTTCTGCTTATTAAATGTGTCAAACCTTTCACTTTGGTCTCATAAATGAAGCTGCATCTGCAGATGCTACATGCTAGTTCCTCCATATTCAGGTTCCTAGAAAGCTGGAGATAGTGTGGAAGTAAATGGGGAAAATCCAGTCTTTCATTAACTCACACAGATCACTTTCTTTTTCACAAGCAATTTTCAACCATTTATCCTTGGTTGCCTTTTTTATACGCTTATTGTGATTTTTAAAATGTCTTTTTTCATGTGTATGCAGTTTAAAGTTATGTGCAGAATGAATTATGTAAATGTTTTAACCTACATATTGTCCTCTTTCTTTCTCTTAGCCTTCCAGATCAGCAGGCAGCACCCTTCCCCAAGGCTCACACATACAGGTATCTAAACACACTTACACACACAGATATACAATAGTGTACACATACATGTATATTAGTGTCTAAATTCAGATTCAGCTGCGCGCGTCCCCTTACCCAGGAAACACATATTCAGTGAATGTTAATACAGTTTTGAAATTTTACCTTCACAAAACCGCTTCTTATCAGCAATTGCATTATTGATTTTTTCATATTGCTTAACAGAATGAGAGGGAAATCTCTTAGAGTCACGTTCGTCGGTGGAAGCGCTTCTGCTAAAGGGGTTAAAATTGGATGACTGGAGGATATAGTGGAGGAAACAGAACACATGACAAAATCATTGAAGGGGAAAAACTGTTTTACATAAGCAACTGAGAAAAAGTTACAAAAAACACATGAGGTTTTAAATAGCTATCTGCGCTGTATATAACAATCTGCACCAGTATAATAAAATCAATAACATGTCAAGGGCGTGTGTGTGTCTGTGTGTGTGTTTGTGCATGTGTAGGTACCTCCAAAGGATAGCATCCCAGCATGGGAGAAAGAGAGAGTGGAAGAAACTTTGGAAAGACAAAGAAGAGAAATGATGATGGACAAAAAGTGGCTGGAGCAGGAAGAGAGACAACTGGTGAGAGATCACACACACAAACACACACATAATGCAGCCAGGTTTGAACCACAGGAGTTTAGCAGTGTAACAAAATGAAGTGATACATGTCTGATACTATTTCATGGGACTATAATTGATTACACATAAAGCACTAAAGCTTATTTTTAAATGTGTTTTCCTGTAGGGTCCTGTTGTGGGACGGGATACACAGATCGAGGTACTTTCTTCTTCTTTTCCTCTTGTGCAAATCATGCTTTGATCAGCACACGGCAGAAACCCAGTTGAAAATACAGCTGCTCGGCCATGCAAACCCATGCCGTGAAGCTCCTGATGCACAGTTTTTGTGCTGATGTTAATACCAGAGGAAATTTGGAGCTCTGCAGTGTTTGAGTCATTACAGTACTAGCTATAGCTATGCAACCACCTCAGCAGTGAGTAAACCCACTGTGTAACTTTAAGTGATTTCCCACTTCCTGGCGCAGTTACCATGATTCCTAAATGCTTCAGATTTTCTGCAATACTGCCAACATTTGATCGTGAAATATCTAGGTGGGAAGAAATTTCATGAACTTACTTCCAAGGTGCGAGGAGAAGGACAGAGATCTGGCGACAGATCTTCCTTAATGTTTCAGCAACACATGAAGCATTAAGGAACAACTTTATTGGTTGACCAGCGTGTTTCAGCTTATGGCTTTCATCGTGGTCACAAGTCGAAACACGTTGGTCTTTTGTCCATATAGTGTAAAACTATAAATGTTAAATTGATCTTCCATCTACAGTTCGAGCTGACAAAAATTCAGTGGTGACTTGTTTTCATCAACAGAGTTTAAACTTTTAAGATACAAACCTTGTTGTGCTTTAAATAACTCGTGTGGTTAGCTTAATGAGGAAGTTGATTTGCTCAAAAATGTGGTAATGGTGTGGGGGTTGGGAGGGTGATTGGTTTAAACATATTAGTTTCCAAAGATTATTTAAACGCTGCTGGCTAACCGTACTCTGTTACGTTGATAAAGAGTATCTGTGTCACTGTTTCTCTGTTATTTGCAGCTTCCTCACAATAGCTCAAAAAACGGTGAGTCCACTTTAAATTTTTAGGTGTCTTCAGCGTACATACACTTTTCTCTCTTTTAACTGTAGTGTAACGTACAAAATTAATTAATTAATTAATTAACTAATTAGTAAGTTTCAAATTTACTCCAACATTTATAATCCTTTTTTTTTAAACTGTTAAGCATCAGCTGTTCATGGAGTGTGCAAAATCCTGTGCTGTTGGCATTACTAGTCTGATACATGGCTTTGATTTATTAGATTCTCTTCTGTGTTTCAGGTCCTCCACAGAAACCTCCAATGCCAGCTGCACAGGTAAAAGTGCACAATACATTTTTCATCAAAAATATTTAAGAAAGGGTTGAAAAGGTTTAAATGTGGACATTTTAAAGCTTAAATAAAGCTACATGTCAGTAAGAGCTTTCTTGTGCTGCTGCAGCCTCGTCCCACAGCTGAGCTGGACCGATCAGGTGATCAGGTTTACACCAGCGTCATGACGATGGTGAAACAGGTGGTCCAGCTGAAGAATGATGTCAACACACTGCCGGCTTCTGAGTATCCCAATGCTGTCAAGGTAGGTCTATGTTAGTATCTATGATACACTGAGGATCACCTTTTTTCAGAGCACACAGTACTGACAGCAGAGGGCGCCGTTGGTTTAGCTCAAGCAGACATAAAGCTTTCTGTCAGGTGTAGGAGAGTTTATACAACTAAACATAAGTTCCAGCATTTAAAACATGGGACATTTGTAGTGTTATTAAAATTAACAACAGGTGCACTAGAGGGGCAACAATGAGACAACCAATGTTCCCTCTAAGCTGCGCACGTGCGCAATTGCGCACTGCTGGCACGGTCTCTGCGCACAGAAAATCTGTGTTGCGCACAAAAAAATCTAACCTGAATTAAAATTAAAATTAAAACTTTAACATTTCTGTTTTTCAGTGTTAGTCAGTAAGTGACTGGCTGCTCCCGTATGGGAATAGAACAATGCCACCTTATCCCATAGTCCAGCCAATGATGCGATTCACATTCATATTTACGCAGCTAATCAACATCGTTGACAGGCTATGACAGTGTCCTTATGCGCCGACACCGGTGTTTTAGCTAGCAAAGCGGGCTGATGTGGAGGGAAGCCATGTTAATGACAACGTGTACAGCCATTGGAGATGTGAGCAGGACAGACGAACAATTGAGGGGAAAAGTGTGGACTTTATACCAGTTTTTAAATTGTGTTGATCGGCCACGTAAAACCAGAGTTATGATAAAAAATATATGTAATTGTTGTGTGCCCACCTTATTACTAAATTAGGCAAAGCGCTCTGAATCGAATCAGGACATAAAGCACGATCTTTATGTTGCTTTATTGAACACTCTTCATCTTACAACTAGCCACTTAACGGGGCTTCCTTCGGACAACAACATCCGGTTCAAAGGTCATCACATTAAGACATAGCCATATCAATACATGACATCCCCCTTTTCCTTAGACTCAAACTTTAGTTGTAATAACTTTGATGTCTTTTTCTTTTCCAACATTGAACATTCTTCTCGTCTTACTTTCTAACAATTATATAATCTAAATGTCTCACCACACATGTACCTTTCTTTTTTCAATATATACATGTCGAAATACACATATGAACTTGAAACTTGCCAAATGTAAGTTACCTCTTCACCTTAACATATTATAGTTCATTTCACCACAAAATCACGAAACCTCTCGGGTATCTTTTTAGCCCTCTGTGATCTACTTGGTCTCTCTGGCCCCTGGGAGCCCTCTTGTGGTGTTGGAGTGAAGGTGTCAGTCTTTGTGGGTGTTTCACCTTCCTCCCTTTCAGGTATTGTGTCATAGTGTCCTTCTCTGGTCTCATTTCTCTCGTACTTCTTCACATGTGTGGTATTCCGGTGATAGCGAGCTCCTGTTGGTGATTCAATAATGACTTGGTTTCCAATTCTGCTTACAACTTTGTGTGGTGTTGCGTTGAATGGTGTTGTAAACTTGTCCACTTTGCTTTATTGAACACTCTTCATCTTACACACAACATCCGGTTCAAAGGTCATCACATTAAGACATAGCCATATCAATACATGACAGTAATGTTTGGTTTTCTTCCTGAATATTGTCGTTGTTTATATTTACTGCGGGAAGTAGTGATGTGTCGGTTGGCTCTTAGAGCCGAATCTTTGATGTGAACGACGCGAGCCGGCTCCTTATCTCTCACCCTCTCTCTCGCATAAAAACTCCAAAACACGTAAAAACTGCAAAACACGTAAAAACTGCAAAACACGTACAAACTCCAAAACATGTACAAACTCCAAAACAGGTACAAACTCCAAAACACGTAAAAACTCAGAAGCACATAAAACTCAAAACACGTACAAAATACAACAGAAGTGCTCCAGGATGCTAGGGGCAGTGTTGAACTTTTCTTACCTAGTGGCTACACAAGCCAGCAAGTACCAACGACCAGATTTGGTGTGTGGTAGTAACAGGTAAATGAACTTTTTTTTAAATTATTTGAATATATATGAGTGCTTGTGTTTAAATACACAAACAATACACATATGCTTTCAATTGTGTAATTTCAGTGATCTAGGGAGCTCTGTTTTGGAAGTTCAGTTAATGCTAGAAGTGTGTTTTGGAGTTTGTACGTGCTTTGTCTCTAGGGGCCACCGCATATATTTATATATAAACATATATAAATAAAACTTCTTCCTTTTTTTTACATTAGTAATTCCTTTTGTGCATAATTTTATATTATTGTTAATAATAAATTAATTAAAGCAACAAAACAACCTGAAGAGCCGGTTCGGAGCCGAAAGAGCCGGTTCTCTAAAAAGAGCCGGAAATCCCATCACTAGCGGGAAGAAACAGTAAAAACTGCGTTTTATAAGGAAAACGCTCGAACGCAACAAAACGACGTTTAGCGCAAATCTTGTGTAGTTAGTGTGTAGTGTAGTCAGTAGTTTTGTTGTGTGTGTCAGAACAATGAGGCGACTGCTGAATGTTACAGGTGTTACAGCAGTGATACATCTCCTGTTGTCAGGCCTGCGGGTATCAGGCTGTTGTTCTCCTTTATCTCATAGTGGACAGAAATTCTTTTTTGGAGTGGCACAAATAATTTGTGTGGCATCAGATTTGATGCAGAACAGCTGATTGTTCTGTAAATAGTTTGAAATGTATATTTAAAAAAACGCCTTGGCTTCATTTTTAGGTAAACAGCTGCAAAAAACTTTGTTGTTTGCATAACCCAGTAACTTTTTTGAAGAAGTAACTATATAATTAATTGCCCAACGTTGGTCATTATATACTGTATTTTGGAGACAGAGAGTTACAGGACTCTCTCCCAGACCACAGACTCATACTCATAATACAAGTCAGAGCTTTACAGAAAATAAAAACAAAGTTTAACTTTTTTTAATTTTTAAGTCTTTTTAATTTTCATTGTAAGTGGGCTAAAGCAGTTAATTTAAAGTGGTCTAACATAAATGTAAATGCTGTAATTTGATTATTTTAATAAACCATGTAACTTGGATGGATTCGATGCTGGTGTGACCACAGTGCAAACGTCTGCTGTTGCTCACAGTGGTCCAAGGGACCGCTCAGGGCGTTTGTGTGTTCGCTCAGACACGTGAAAAATTAGAGGGAACATTGGAGACAACTCCCAAACTCATCATGTCCATCATTAGTGCTGTAACTGTACGATACACGGACCTTTTTTCAGGAGTAGTTTGAGCCACTGACAGTAGAGGGCGCTGTTGTTTTAGCTCATGCACACATAAAGCTCACTATCACGTAATGGAGAGTTTATACAACTAAACATGAGTTCCAGCTTTTAAAACAAGGAAGACTGTTTGTATTTGAGTAATTGATCATTTTATCCTTCCTCATCCTTACTTCCACATCTCTCACTCCATTCATCTTCGCTTTTCTCCATCATCCACCTGCAGGCAGTGGGTATCTCTCTCCGGACCCTGATTCAAAGTGTTGATGAGATCCTGCCCTCTCTGCACTCCTCTGTCACCTCAGAGGTAGGTTTCAAATATTGTCTGTCTTATGTTTTGTGACAGTGTATGCATATCAGCCAGCAGACCAGATGCAGAGGGATTTTCTTTGAAGATTCACATAAACAGAAGTTATGTTGTGAAACAACATTAAATACTCAGTGCAAAAAGGCTTTTTGGCTTCTATGTGTGTCAATATAGAGATTATTACCATTTGACACTTTATGCCATATATAAGCATACTAGATCATCTTTTCAGTCTTTATACTATTTTTTACCTCCCGTTGTCTGTATGATCTGATCTTCCTTCTGCTCCATTCTAGATTGAGGGCACGAAGAAACTGCTGAACAAGGATTTGGCAGAGCTGATCAATAAGATGCGACTGGCCCAGCAGAACTCCATAACATCACTAAAGGAGGAGTGCCAGAAGCAGATGTTAGCTGCTGCTCACACTCTTGCTCTTGACTCCAAAAACCTCCTGGATGCTGTGGACCAGGCTCGAGTCAGGGCCAACCTTGCCAAGCCTAAACGTGACTCAGAAGATGAAGAAGATTCTAGGGAAGACACATAGGTTCCCTGCTGATCAAACGAACTTGAAATTTGGCTTTAGTTATGAAAGGATCAGTTCTTTTCTTGAGGACATGTGGAGGCTATTATGGTGCAGCTCTGTCCCGAGGGGACAGGGGTGTATCAGCTAATGAAAGATGTCATACTGTATTTGTATATGCGCTTAAACAACTGAACTGAAACGCTGAATGTATTAATAATATTTGTAGTGTTTATTCTATATTTTTACTATTAAAAATTATGACCTTTCTGTGTTGCAGTGGTCATTTTATGATATAAATTAATGATACATGATACACCTGTGGTATTAATGTAAAAATTCTATGTTGCTTTGTTCTCAAGTTATTGTATTCACACCTGTGACCTTGATCTTTAGGTCCAGTTCACTTCAGTTTGAAGTCATTCAAAAAATTTTATTTTATTTAAATTTTGGTATCAATTTGAAAAACCTACATCGCCTCGTTCTGGAGTAATCCCAGTCACAAACTTGCTTGTCCATGCTGGCTACCCGCCCAGCAGTTTGACAACAATACGTCTGAAAGGTAAAAAACTACACTGAAATGATGTACTAAAGTTTGTTCATGTGCTCATGTGGTTACCACAGCAAGCCATCAGCACACCCTTGAATATTGTGCTTTTAACATCAGTCCTGTTAAATGGCTGTGGGGTAAACTCTCTAGCAGGTAATTTGCATAGCTGTTATTGTGCAATGACAACCTCGGGCAGCCTTGGGTGGGCTGTACAGACTTGAACTGCATTTATTCACAGTCGTTCACAGTAAAGAAAAAAGAAGACCATATTGTTGCTTCTAAGGAAAGTGGCCAACTAGAAATACTGTTTTTGACAAAACAGTTTAAAACTTTTTATTTTTCCTGTTTGTAATGTGAATAAATTGTTAAAATGTTAATTTGTGTTGTTTCTCCAGACTTTAATCGTGAAATCCAGCAAATGACACGAAACAGGTGTCGATAGCAGAACAAGCTGTTTGGCATTGACAGGGAAGATTTTATGAGTGGGCTTTAGGGACGTTGTTACTGAAACGCTCTCACACACTCTACTGAATATTTCACACACATTACTAAAATACTTTCACACACACACACACACACACTAATGAAAACTGAGAAGATTTCAGTTGAACAGGAAGTTAAGAAAAACAAACAGTACATTTCAATACCACGAAAACCACGCTGATGTCTACTCAACAGCTTGTTAGCAGCATAAGAGAACAATTTTTTGGCCTTGGTAGTGACTATCCGAACACTGTTGTAGGATAGCAACAAGTCTAGACCTCCTGGCCATGCTAAGTTGCACCATGCTAGCTGCACCTACAATCTGGAAAGAGGACTGTGTGACGGTACCTCAACTACAATGAAATTTTATCTGATACCCTGAATTTTTCACATGCATTCTTTGAGATAAGAGGCAATGAAGAGGATGTCGTAAAAATGTTTCACTTGTGCCCTGCAATGTATTGAGTCTTTCAAAACAAAAATCCAGACAATTTTAGACAAGAGGGAGTGCTAGATGATTATACACAAACTCTATTGGGATTTCTTGTTTCTGGTGTCTGATGTCCAGATGCCAAAGTGTGACTATTCAGCACATCCACACTTATACTTACAGCAGGTTGATGCTCCATGGCTGTCACATTTTAAAGAGTTCTGATGGTCTCTTTTAAGACTAATATATTTCACTTTCAGGCTGTTGAGCAGACATTAATGTAATGTTATCTGTATTTTGAAATGTGTTCTCACTGGTCACTGTCCTGTTCACCCAAAACACCTTCCTATTCAGTTTAAACGGCTTCCTTTTCACCTGAAACAGCTTGGTTTTCAGTAGTGAGAACCTTTCAGAGTTTTTATTAGGTGTAACCCACATATTCAACTCTACTCAACCCCAAAATACATTTCCTAGACAAACTTGGTACCACTATAGGGGAAATTGGGGCTTTTCAGTGGTATAAGATTTAATGCCAAGAAGCATCATTACAACTTAGAGATAATAGACAAATTTCCTTACTTTTTTGTAGGCTGACACGCACTCATCCAAATCTTTTAATAAGTAGTGCTGAAATTTTGGACTTGTCAAGTTTTATTAACTTGACAAGTCCAAGGCCTATTAACTTTTCTTAACTTGCCTTAGTTATCCTGACTCTTGCTAGCATAAAAAATGATTTATTACACAAAATTCACTGGACTGAACAATTATCAGTCCCAGATATGTAGATTTCCACAAGTTTGACCAATTTGCCAAGGTCTGGAGGAAGTCCCAAACCATCACCCTCAGGAAATTCGTTAGGTCTGCCCAGGGACCACTAAGGCTCAAACCTGCTGTTACTCCCCTCGAGTCGTAATAAAGCTCAACTTGTTCCTTGTGTTTTAACTGACATTTATTTCGGACAGGAGGATTCTTCGACATGCCTTAACATGTAATGATGTCCAACCACAGCCGATACAATGCCGTCAGAACTAAAAAGAAATACAAACTTGTCAGGGGTTAAGACATTTGTTCACAAGTAAGAGAAAATGAGACACTGTAGACCAAGTCAGAGAGTTTAAGAACGTGTACACGGGTGAGCGTCTCTGAGAACACACACACCGAGCACAGGCTGCTTGCTTTATTTATAAGGCAAAAATGGGTTACATAGTACTTCCTCTTTTAACTGTCAGGGGAGAGGTCAGGCATTATCTCAGCTTATCTAACCTTGCACACATACACTGAAAATAACAATGCAGAAGTATATCATGCTTTATCTGACATCACATACTGAGGTGAGGAATACAAAGTATATCATGACTTGTCAAACATCTCAAACACTTAAGTAAGGAATGCATTATGTTCTCTTTAACAATAAGCTTTGCCGTGTGAAAATATATGAACACACATACAATATAAGGCATACTTGGTTAGAATATAAGGCTTACTTGATTATATTGTATTATAGAGATTTGGTTATATTGTATAAT